GGACAACAGTTTTGTACGCTCGTGTCAAAGCGTGTCCTCATTGGTGAATTAAAAGACCTATCTAACCGAATTTTTTGATCTAAGAATTTGTCTGAATAGCTGCAAAAAAGACAAAACAGTTAATGGGCCTAAATAGTTTGTTTAGCTTTATGTTAAAAGAATATTTAAACTGTGCTCTCTAATTGATATTGAGTAATCATCTAAATATTTGTTTTGCGTGTTTTATAATTTAAGTTTAAGGCTAATAACCCTAGTCTTAAAAAATAGTATTAAGTTAGTATAAAATTCGACAGTTTTTTGTATAATTATTAACACGAAGCCAGATGAACAAACGAATTTTATTTATTGTCGTTTGTTCACTGAGACTGCACAGAGCGTTTATTACGGTCATGCGCATTGCAACGGCCCATTAAACACTATGATTATAATGCGCTAGTTATAACCAGGTATCTAAGATGAACACCATATTGGGAGCTGTAATAGGTATGTATGGACATAATTATGTGCCTGTCTTTGTTTGTTAATTAGCAAATATGTAAGTATGTATTTGTATTTTTATTTTTATTTAGGAGACTCAACCACGTTTGTCGAAATAGTTAAGTCACATGTGATAAAGTGGCCAAATGGACTTAGAACCATTTGGTCCCTGGTTGGTTGTCCCAAATGGTCATTTAGGTACTTTACATTAAATCTATTATTGCAGAAAGAGTTGGGCTATGGTATATATTATTTATGGTCCATGAATTATTCTTATTCAATAATTAATAATTCTTATTCAATAATCTGAAATCGGCGAACTACTAATTAATCCATAGGCGTCATATAGGTGACATTTAAAGATCATATTATGGCGAAATTATCAGCTTATTACTTATTCATTTTTGTAGAAGCAATCATGAATGAATTACCTAAAATAAGTATTGTAAATCATTGGATGTCAACAAATATGTTATACAAGCTATTAATTAGAAAATGTTAATTATTATTACTCATTTGGCCTTTTCTATCGAGGCTGTTAAGCGAAACCGTTTCAGTGAAGAAATATGTTTTTTTATACTAAACCGTAAGCGATTGTCGTTTGACCTCCGTAAATGACTAGATATCAGAATTACTAAATTTTGGATAGATAACAGAAACAGATTTTTTGGAAAAGAAGTCCTCCAGCAACTGCCAAATCACAATCTAAGATTTTTTTTATAGCATAAGCCGGTAAACGAGCCGACGGATCACCTGATGGTAAGCAATCGGCGCCGCCCATGAACACTCGAAACACCAAGGCGTTACAAGTGTGTTACCGGCATTTTGGGAATTGGGAATTTGAGGATTGTGGAGGATTCAGGGATTCGGGAGAAGGGGACTAGGGAGGGGGGTAATTGGGCCTCCAGTAACGTCACTCACACGACGAAACACAACGCAAGCGTTGTTTCACGTCGGTTTTCTATGAGGCCGTGGTATCATTCCGGTCGAGCCGGCCCATTCGTGCCGAAGCATGGCTCTCCCGCACTTAAAAGATATCAGAATTAATCGATTTTAGATAGATAACAGAAACAAATTTTGGAAAAGAACTTCTGTAGCAACTGCCAAATCACGATTTCTAATTCAAAATTCATGTAGGTAGTAAACAATTTTGGAGTTTTAGAAGATAGCATAAAATGCAGTGTTAGCTACATATGAAATGTTCAGTCAGCAATATACTGGTCGAATTATAATGGCCGAATAATCCGAATAAATGGCACTTTTTTTTTAAGGTGGGAAAATCATCGAGTGACTGCTCCCGCGTGGGTGAGGCGGGAGGGAGTGTCAGACTCTTACTGACTAAAAACCACCCCATTCCTTCTCCTGCACGTCGAGCCGGATCCCCGGTAACCCGTTAGGTTCTTCGCGACGAATAAATGGCACTAGCGAGGTAGGCAAAACGAGGAATGAAAAAGATACGCTAGCCACGGTCTACTATCATTCTTATATCTGTTAAAACTTTAACTGAACCAAACAATTTTAATATAAAAGTGATTCAAAACCTCGTTTAAATATTTTCTCAGAAATACTTAGTCATAAATCCATTCTCGAATGGAATCTGAATCGCAATTATAATAAGAAAACAGTAAGTACTTTCACTCGAGATTATTTTAACAAAGATTACCTACTGCTTTGAATATAATAATCTGCATGAAATAACTCATTAAGTTCTTAATTTAGATAAATCTAATGCATTACCCGCTTACATAAATACTAGACCGAGGCAAATCAAAAATAATCTGACGCCTTAGTAAGAGTTTAATTTAAGTTTAAAGATTCAAAGTTTACGTGTTCGGCGCTCTGATTGGCCAGCGCCAATGAGCCAACCAATCAGACCGCCGAACGCGCACTCGTTACGATTACTTTAAACTTAAAACAAACTTATATTAAGGCCTCTGGACTACTTTACAGTCGTCTACAAAACAGTTAAAATAAAACAGAATCTGAAAACCTTGGTTTAAAAAAATTGTTTTGTTTGAAACATCTCAGTATCGTCATCATCATCATCATGATCATCATCAATAGCCTATGATAGCTGACTGCTGGACAGGTGGTCTGGCAAAAATAAGAAGATTTATCATAATAAATAACCACATTTAGCAGGCAGACGTATTCCCGGTCATAGCTTTTAAAATTATCATATGTAAGTTATTTTAATTCGGGACTGCCTCGTTGGCCGAGTGGTTGCAAATGCGACTGCCACGGGGCAAGACTGGCAAGGGGTCTCGGGTTCGATTCCCGGTTCGGGCAGAGTATTACTGGGTTTTTACAAAATTCTCAGTAGTAGCACGGAGTCTGGAATTGTGCCCGGTATATGGCGATAGGCTCATCCCCTATTACATAGGACTCATGACATGAATAGTGACAAGTGGGTGTTACATTGTACAGTGCAATGTACACCTCTGCCTACCTCTTCGGGGATAAAAGGCGTGTAGTTATATGTGTAATTAAAAAAACAATTTGAAACAATTTTCCCCCCGATTGTACTCAGTTTCGTCAAAAACGCGAATCATGCGCATTTCACGGCTGTTACACATTGGACGAGCGTTTGCCGAGATAGTGGGGTGCGAGGAAGTAGATCACTGTTACATGGAGACTACCAAGAAATGCGTACGCGCACTCGTGATGGTATTCTCTTGAAATATTTGATGGGGAATGTTGGTTTGTTGATGGTGTAGAAACACATTGTGATAATAAACCTTGTGTCTTGTTGGTTAAAAATTTCATACACTGAAGAGAATACACTTCGATGAAAATTATTGATTTTGAATTAGAATGTGTATTTCCTAGGTTCTCCTTCTATTACAGTTAGTTGCAACACATAATTATAATCGACATAATAATTTCGTTATAAATTAAATATTAATGTAATTAATTCATGATTGCTTCTATAAAAAATATTAATAATATTATGTGCTGATAATGTCGCCATACTTAGATTTTTAAATGTCATCAGTAAGACGCCTATGGATTAATTGGTAGATTAGCGAAATTGATAAAATGTTACTTAACACTTTGTATAATTATTGATTAATTAATTAAATTTACTAAATACCTACGTATAAACATTACGGAACATCATCCTATTGTAATATTACAAATCCAAATGTTTGTATGTTTGTAACTCCTTCATGTCTGTAACAGCTGAAGGGATTGTGATGAAAGGAACACGTGTAGATTATTGTCTATGGAATAACACATAGGCTACTTTTTATCCCACGACAACGCGAGCGAAGCCGCAGGCAGAAGCGAGCATCATATGCATAATTATTGTAATTTCTGACAATAGCTTGACGATTGATCAATCTGCAATGCGCCTGCCAAACATGTCTGACAAACCCCTATTATGTTGAGGAGGTCCGTACTCTAGCTGTGGACTATCACGAGCTTTTGACGATAATGATGATAATGATTTAAGCTAAGGATACACTACTATGTCCCACGACATGTATTGGCGACAACGTGTGACTTACATTCACAGCGAATTTGATGGTGCGACATGTCAGCCAAAGTCAGGCAACTTCGCGCTACTTCACCCAACGTCGCTGGCCACACGTGTCGCGGTTCATTGTACCCTAGTGTATTGTTAGCTTTAACCATAAAATAATCAGCCTAAACCAGTCTATTACTAAATGAAATTCCTATAATGTCTATCTTATTCAGGTACATAAATAATCTAGCCTGAAAATGACCCTTGAATTGGCCGTTTCACGGTCAAATGAATCAGCTAAGTGCCCCACTGACTGACTGGTTAACTGACCGAGAAAATAAATACCGGTCAATTTACTTACCATAAGATTTGACGATAAATTGATTAAAGTATAGTCTTGCTAACCTTTCTAAACCTAGATTTTAGTATTTAGAATTTTAGTTTACAATTTAAAATGATATGAATCGTTTGACTGATTTTGTAGGCTAATGAAGATGGCTTTCCTTACGATTTACGTAGCTACATACTGTAGGTATTATGTTAAATACTTTAGATTGCACAGTACCTACTTAAGTATATTTTGACGGAGTTATTTGTGAAACTGGCAAGTGAGCAGTTAAAAATATATAGGTTACACACTGGTTGTATACTGAGAAAGGAAGTACCGAAGTCATTTTCAAACATTTCAATTCTTGAAAACGATATTCGTCCATAAAACTAACTAAACTTTCTTTGTATCGCGCGATGGATTGTTGACACATTGATGTACGATTGCTAACATTCTAATTTACAGCCCAATTAAAAACAAGTTTCTAATCTTTCAGTTTTCAATAGTCTGGGAAAGTCTTGTGGCGCGTAACTTAACTGGCTCTTTCAACAATCTATCCACGTGATTATGTAAAAGATAATCTATCAGTATCCGAGTGATCTAGTTTTTAATGGCTCTGAGATTTACCTAAGCGACATTTTCCTCAAGTTTTGACAACTGAAAGTAAATCCACTCTATTGCATATTTAGATGTAATCATAGTTAGTAAACAATAAAGGTCACTGACCTGTTCCACAAAGTTTTCAGCAGTGAACCTCTTGGTGAACTCCGTGAACGTCTCCTTGTCCTGGAGGCTCTCCCGGCGCGCTCGTTCCACTTTCAGTTTCTTGATTCCCGTTATATCCTTGGACATTTTCAGTTCCTCTATCAAATCCGTTTTCGCGTTTTTGTAGATTTCTGCGGCGCTGGGTAAGCATTGTAAACTGACTGATCGTGCAGGGGGCGGGGCTGATAACGTTTTAGTGGCCGGTGTTCGCAGTCGCACTGAGGAAAGCTCGGCACTGCTGATGGCTGCCAGGGGCTGGTGCGTGGTGACGGGAGGCTGCGGCGGCGGCGGCGGCACGTTGTCGGCTGGCACCGGCGGCGGCGGCGGAGGACGCGCCTCCGCCGCGCTGTCGTCCCGCTTGCACGGCGCCGTGATTGTTTTCAAATACTCGGACGGTTTGATAAGGCGGTCGGGCGCGTTATGCGGGAACGCGGGAGGCACGAAGGGGAGCACGGCTTGCTTGTTGACGAGGTTGGGCCCGCGCGGTCTGTCGTCGTCTGCGGACGCCGCCGAGCCGCGTCGCCCCGCTGCAAGATTTCAAGATGGCTGCTATTAGGGGGGAGAGAAAGTCCGCGCTTCGGCGCGCACGCACCCCGCGCCCGAGTGATGCGCTGCGTGTACAATCGCCGGCGCAACTGCTTGATTTACTAGATCGATATTTGGATGATGACTTAATTTTACATAAATTAATATGATCTGCTGACTAGATTTATTGTTACCGGCTGTGATCCCGATTGTACAAGCTTTGCATCACTGGTTTTATTTGATAAATGGGTCTAAAAAATGAAATGGGTTTATAAATGGGTAAGATCTAAAATCAATTTTCCATCTAACATACGAAATATTTAAAACCAAATTACTTTTTTAAATAATAAACGGAAATATAAAATAGATATGTCTTCATAGGCAGTTGAACAGTGTGTCGTATATGCGGTGTATGATATGTGTCGACTAGTATTTTTCCAGTGAGTTCACGTGCGACTGCGCATTATAACACTACTCTCAACACCTATCACTCCACTGCTCGAAGCAATCGTCATAATGAATTTCTAAAATGCGATCGATTCTGATATTTTCCTTTTTACGTTTACTCAGCTAATAGTTTAGTCGTATAATTTCATTACATTAATATTTTCTTGCCTTTAACTGTGTTCGGAAGGTCGGTGACCTTTACATTTTTATTGCGTCATTGAAAAAATAAGCTAAAATTATTTCAGAATAATTTCATGGCATGTGCACGAGGCCCATCATGACGATGACTTATAGTAAGCCTGTAAAGATTTGCAGTTTTTGTGCCCTCTGAAAAGTTACTTACTTCACAGTTACGAGGTTTTCACTGAAAGCTATCGATAGGTAATCCACTCATGTAGGTCCTTAGCAAAATAATATTACCTAATCAAATAAAACAGATGTCACATTCGTGTAAGATATTGATTTTAATACTGAAATAAAATTTAATCGAGGTCGTTTTTCAACACAGAACATTTAAATGTTCTGTGTTTTTCAAAGCATCCTCTAGCGTAATTAAGTACGTCATAAAATGTACCGCACTTTCTTGTTAACCACTGAATCTGTCTCGCAAAATTGTTAGCACTTACATACAAATACTTATAGTTAACAAGTAGACAACGGTCTACTTGTTAACTATAAGTATTTGTGTGTACTATTCTATGATTCGTTTAATGATTTGTTGTTATTTACATCTGGAACAATATAAGCACAGCTTTACTGGCATGTTGCTATCGTTGGTCTAGTCTTATAGTGAGTATAAACGTGATTTCGTAACAAGTTTTATTAGTTTTATTTTAGTTCGTTGGTAGTAGTTCCCTTAAACTGTCAAACACCAAGCGGTTACCGGTGACCGCAACCTATTGTTGTTTAACTCGTCGAGTACCGTATTTATAGACACAATTAAAGAACAATAGGTTGCGGTCACCGGTAGGTACTCAAAGAGTTAATCCTGAAATTCAGAACTGATTTATCAAGATATTTTCAGCATTAACCAGTTTAAAATGTATAACAGTTACTTGAAAAATGTGTCTCCATTTGACCATAAAATCAGAAGCCTAGTATAAAGTGTATTAATTCTGTACAACATCATACGTTGTGTAACGCCTCTAGTGTTTCATGTATCCATGGGCGGCGCCGACTGCTTACCATCAGGTGGTCCGTCGTTTACCAACTTATCCCAGAAAAAAAACACCATATTGGACACCGGTGACCGATGTTAGCAAAGGAGTTGCCTTGAAGAGTTTTAATTTGGCACTCAAATACTTAATTTACTTCGTCGCAAGTGCGACTGCTGGGCAAGGGGTCTCGGGTTCGATTCCCGGGTCAGGCAAAGTATACTGTGTTTTAAAAAAATCTCAGTAGTAGCACGGAGTCTGGAATTGTGCCCGGTATATGGCAATAGGCTCACCCCCTATTACATGGGACTCATAACATAAATAGTGAAAAGTGGGTGTTACATTGTACAGTGGCATAATGTGCACCTCTGCCTACCCCTTCGGAGATAATAGGCATGATGTTGTGTATGTTATGTATGTCAAATACTTAATTAGGTACCTATGTACCTACCTATTCTATATTAAGATATTCCCTAATAAAAATGGTTTGATGTAATATAAAATCAAAATTACTTAAACTTAAATGCAAGTTTCGTAACAAAATCAAATTGGTGTTACATTGTAATCGATTTCCACTTAAGGCCACAATAGGGCCTCGCGTGATCGATTAACGTTTACGACAATATTTTGTTACATAAGGTAATAGCTACAGCTATAATAGATAACTTCTACATATTGGCAATATTTCAAGTAAATAATATAGAAGTGGTTAAAAGATAAGTATGCGTGAAGCATATTATATTTTTTGTCACTTATATACTGCAATATTGCAACTCTGAATAATAAATTAACACAAACAAACATAACATAACATCACACCTTTTATCCCCGAAAGGGTAGGCAGAGGTGCATATTATACCACTGTACAATGTAACACCCACTTTTCACTATTTATGTTAAGAGTCCCACGTAATAGGGGGTGAGCCTATTGCCATATATACCGGGCACAATTCCAGACTCCGTGCTACTACTGAAAATATTTGAAAACCCAGTAATACTTTGCCCGACCCGGGAATCGAACCCGAGACTCCTTGCCCGGCAGTCGCACTTACGACCACTCGGCCAAAGAGGCAGTCTATAATAGTAAAAGTATAATAGTAAAAGTAAATTACTATAATAGTTAAATACTATACCGATTGATAAAATCACGACTAAATAGTAAAGTAAAAATACGATTGGCGCAGTGTCTGGACGATCGACTATCGACTACTGTAGGTACTGCTCAACGAGTCGCCGGTTCGAAACGACTGTCTGATCCACAGATTTATCACTCAGAGTCCGGGTATACTTAATATATGTACGTGAATTTCTATGTTTGTAAACACACATACCAACGACCTGCGGGTCGGTCGGTGTACTTGGTGCGCCAAGAAGAAAATTGTAGCTTTTTTAATTAAAAAAGGAGACAAAATGACTGCACGGTTGGTGTGGTGGCTGGGCAACCGGCTGCCGTGCAACGTGTCGCTGATTCGATCGCTGATTCGATTCCCGCACGGAACAACACTTTGTGTGATCCACAAATTGTTGTTTCGGGTCTGGGTGTCATTGTGTATGTGAACTTATATGTTTGTAAACGCACCCACGACACGCAGGAAAAAATCCAAACGGGGGCAACGTTTTTTTTAAAAAAAGAAAAAATGGGAATGTGATGTTAAGCGACATTTATGTACATCAACACTTTTAACACCCCTTCATAAAATATTTCAGACGTTTAGAAAGCATGCGAAACATTCCACAAGGCAATCTCTCAAAACAGTAAACATAATGGCGATTAAATATTCAGGTGTGAAGCTGAAACCGTCTCACTCTGTTTGCTGAAACTGCCTTGATTCACTAATTAATGCGCCGGCGCTGGTTTCACCGGCAAACTGACTATATGACTTGGCTGTCAACTTAATACCTATTTAATTTTGTCTATTATTTAAAACTAGCGACCCGGCCCGGCTCCGCACGGGTGTAATAAGCATGTATTATACATATAAACCTACCTTAAGAATCACTAAAATGTAAAATGTATTAAAAAACCGCATCAAAATCCGGTGCGTACTTTAAAGATCTAAGCATACATAGGTACTGGATCTAAATCTAGACAGACGGCGGATAGCGAGTTTGTTTTATACTATGTAGTGATATTAAATAGGTATAATAATGACCTCAAAGGATTGTGGACTACAGATCTCCATCTGTAAAATACAGACTGTCATTCAGACGAATCTAATTAAGTCTTTGTTATTAATTTCGTTGGAAAAGGTTAGGAGAAAGAATGAAAGATAAATATAATATAGCCTACCCATCATCACCGAAGAAGTAAGCAGAATTAAATATTGGATGCAGCCAAAATAAATTGCATAAGAGTCTATCAACCTACTAAACGCTAGAGTACCAGTACCTATGATATTATGTGCAATTTCGATAAAGTAGAAAATATCAATAAGGATAAATTTACCTCAATTTTGGTACACAAGTTTTGCTTATATACTGCCTCGTTGGCCGAGTGGTCGCAAGTGCGACTGCCGGGCCAAGGTTCTCAGGTTCGATTCCCGGGTCGGCCAAAGTATTACTAGGTTTTTAAAAATCTCAGTAGTAGCACGGAATTGGGAAATGTGCCCGGTATATGGTAATAGGCTCACCCCCTATTACATGGGACTCATAACATAAATAGTGAACAAGTGGGTGTTACATTGTATAGTGGCATTAAGTGCCGTAATGTGCGCCTCTGCCTACCCCTTTGGGGATAAAAGGCGTGATGTTATATTATGTTAAGTTTTGCTTATAATGCATCTACCGGTTACTAGATGGCAATAGTTTCCTATAATTTGTTAGAAACTTGTTTGTTTGAAAACGCATTGGAATTTTACAATTATAGACTTTGTTGGAAAAATAATGACAGTAAAGTGCAGTCTACAATTTAGCGAAGAGATGCATTATTTATTTCGCAAAGGCTATTAAAGTTAGACTACAGTAGATGTTCTGAATAAGGGAATCGTGCGGCTCCTTACAAGGACTTCGATCATGAAGCTGATTGTGGCTTCAGACCAAATGTTTAGGATAAAACGTAGACAATTTTCTAGTCTAGATAATTGGCTTTAGAATAGGATAATGCTTTTTTATTTTATATCTAGTCTTTGGAGTAAACGGCCTTGTATTTAATCTTTAACTTTATTAAATGATGGCCGAATTGCAACTTAATACAAACGTGGTAGTTATGTATATTTGTACAAACACATGTCCATAAAATTGTATGTAGCAATAGCGATCCCCAAAGGAGAGTCTCACAGCATCGTATAGAAGAGTTCAGTAGCTGTAGAACACCTGTCTGTAGTTATCCTACTAGAAGGGTAATTGGTATTGTTGTTGTGTATTTAGTTACTAAACTAAAATAAAAACAGATCGTTTAGACTGCGACAACTAAGTCAAGTGCACGCCTGCTCACGGTCACTTTCTAACTAGCACTTAAATGTGACAACATTTAAAATATAATGCACCATTGCACCTATTTGTAAAGTGCTAGGTGTTTTTTTATGGCCTAAGCCGGTAAATGAGCAGACGGATCACCTGATGGTAAGCAATCAGCGTCGCCCCTGGACACCTGGAACACCAGAGGCGTTACAAGTGCGTCACCGGCTTTTTGGGGATTAGGAGTTTGAGGATCGTTGGGGATTCAGGGATTGGGGAGATTGGGGAAGGAGAGGGTAATTGGGCCTCCGGTAATCTCACTCACACGACGAAACACAACGCAAGCGTTGCTTTACGTCGGTTTTCTGTGAGGCCGTGGTATCACTCCGGTCGAGCCAGCCCATTCGTGTCGAAGCATGGCTCTCCCACACTTAACTTCGTGTGTCTGTATACGATAAAGCACGTTTAAATTCAGAAAATGTAATTTCTTGAATTAAAATACAGCTCTCTACAGTCTAGAATCGAGAGCATTGAATTTCGTTAAGTTTGTTATAAGGGCCATATACCTATGTAATAGTTAAACGCCGTGGCCGAAAACTTAAAACTATAATTATTATGATCATTATCATACCACGCCTTTTTCCTTCTTTAAGGGTTAGGTAATAGATAAGGGAATATAAGGGTTAGGTTAGGGTACAGATCAACATTTAATAATTCAATATAAAACATACGTTTTGTCCATCTACGATAAATCTAAATTAAAAGATCTAGATATAATATCTCAAAATGCTCTTTAATTTAGGTACCTAACTGTGAAAACTGTATCGAATCTTACCCAGACATCAAACCCAGACATAATTGATTAGAAAACTTAATTTCATAATTATCCACCGCGCATTCATGCAAGTCATCTTTCTTCTAGACTTTTCCAACTAAATTTTGGTCTGCATTTAATATTAGCCAAACATTAGTAACTACAAATTGTCATGTTTGATTGTCCCATATATTAGAGGTTTGTCTTTACTACACACGGAGAACAATTCTAGACTCCGTAATATTTTACTGAATATTTTGGAAATACCGAGAAAAAGCTCAATAACGTTTTGTCTAATTTGGAAATCGAACCTGAAACCCCTTACTCGATAGTCGTCAGCCACTCGACCAACGATGCAAATATTTTCAATCCAGCTTATTGTACGAGTCTAAGTAGCACATAATCTTTAAAATTCTATAATGCATAACAAAGAGTTAAAAACACTTAAGAACTCTCTTAGGACTCTAGATATGTTTTTATGGCATAAGCCGGTAAACGTGATGGTAAGCAATCGGCGTCGCCCATAGACACCTGGAATACCAAATGCGTTATCGGCAGTTTGGGAATTAGGAGTTTGAGGATCGTTTGGGATTCAGGGATCGGGGAGATTGGGCAAGGGGGGGGAGTAATTGGGCCTCCGGTAACCTCACTCACACGACGAAACACAACGCAAGCGTTGCTTCACGTCGGTTTTCTGTGAGGCTGTAGTATCACTCCGGTTGAGCCGGTCCAATCGAGCCGAAGCATGGTTCTCCCAAATTTAAAATATTAGTCTCGCTAAAACTCGAAAACGGCTGAACTGATATGGCTAATTTTGGTTTTGAAATGTTCGTGAAAGTCCAGGGAAGGTTTAAAAGCTGAGAAAAAAATTGTAGTCGATACGAAGTTTGCTGGGTCAACTAGTATATTATAAATTAAAAAGAACGATTATAAAGATATAATTTTTATGGAATAGGAGGCAAACGAGAAGATGGTTCTGATGGTACTTATCTTTACAGAAAATACAGTTGTAATAGATCTATAGGCATTACCACGACTATCTACTTTTAACCTAGATAAACTACAGTGGTTATTAACGTAAGAAGCTCAGTGGAGTTGCAGTTAATTCTAGCTCAAAGTAGATACTAGTCTAGACTTAATAGGCCGGCTTAGCTTTCGCGTGTAATTAATGGTTTTCAACCACTTTCAAAGTATAAAATTGAGTATTGCACTGTGTAGTTGTGTGTAAAGTAGATGACAATGCTTGTTGGTTTTTCTTAGGCTGTATAAGTATAGTGTGGGAATGATTTTAATTATATATTTCGTGTTATCTAATAGTTACTATTGTTTAGCTCATTGTTGTGTATAATTTATTGTTTAATCTGTAGAATTTAGGTGTTAATCTCATCCTATTTGGAAATAGGTCAAAATAATAATTATGTTTTCGACTTACTCACGTAACTGTTTGACGAGAAACTCGACTAGTTTCAAGCCGTGCTAGAAGCTCATATTCATGCAAGCTTGAAACTAGTTAAGTTCCTTGTCAAACAGTTACGTGGGTAAGGCGAAAACATAACAATTAATTTAGGTCAAAATACAACGCAAAACCACATTTCTCTTAAATATTGTAGACCCACTCTAACATTTACTCTTATTCAATGTCTAATTTAAATTCAGCCTTATAATGTTTTTGTGCGGGAATCGAAGCCGCGACACATTGCGTAGCAGTGGGTTGCTCAGTTACTGCTCCGACCGTGCAGTCACGTATTAAATGCAAGGCACTATCGATCTACAATCATAGTGTTGAGCAATCCAGTCAATTAAGACCATAGACCATAAGACCGCCGATGCGTAACTCATTTCGAAAAAGCCTCTCACAGAATACAAGTAATTTAGGAAAAATCCAAAGTCGCGAATAACCAGTTCATTTAAAATGGAAAGTACAGCCAGTATTAAATCCAAGTCGTATTTATTTTTATTGTTTCAACTTTAGAATCAGAACGTTACTAACTGCCCATATCTGTAGAAAGTAAACGCATTTCATTAACTTCTTACTTAGCTAATTTCTTTCTTTTAAATATTAATAGAATAGCGATGTCAAATTTTCTAATTAAGAACACAATTAGACATTACAATGAGGTTTTATGTTAATTTTTTTTCGTATTTTTTGCGTGATTTTTACGCTAGATTCGGATTGAAAGGGAGTGGTTGCTTTTTTTGTTAAATTATGCTTAGTTTAGGTGAATTAGGCGCCTAATCCGGTGTGAAGTTACTGTACTTGTTTGACGTTTACTTTCTTTTATGTATAAGTTTCGTAATTGGAATGAAAATAGATCAGATGGACCTTTGATAAACATGGTATTTTGCTATCACGAAGAAGTTTAAACATCTATAAAATCATTGGAGCGTTGACCAATTGCCTTGACATGTAAAATAAGCGGTCGGTAATTTTAACGCAGAGATTGTTTCTCCGGGTACATTACGAATCTAATTTACTTAAAATTGAATTCAATAACATCTTCTCTTCACGCTTGCAATTCATAAACAATACGCAAAATCAACACTTCTCTAAATACGTAAAAACCTTGTAGACACATATCAACACAAACACTTAATACAGTTTTATATCCGAAAGAGAGTGATCCACAAAAACAGTTAATGTGATTAATCAAACGGGTACATAATTCGATGCCGATAACAATTAAGTCTCCAAAACAAATTATGACTGAAATGGGACATAGACTCCGTATAAAAAACCGTGGGTACTGCAAGACAATACCTAATTTTTTTTAATCACTATAAGAACAAGACTACTTACCTAATCTCCCCCTGAGCTCCGAAGGCTTCAGTGCTGGTTCTTCCAACACTACAGGTGGGGGTGGGGCTGGTGGTGCCGGTGGTGGTGGAGGCGGAGGAGGAGCCTCGTCTCCCGAGCTACCACCAGAGGACACTCCTGAGGAAGCTGAGGCAGCTTGCACTACTGTCGCTTCGTCTGATACTGACGCGCGTCTGCTGCCAGCCGCCGAGGATAGACGGCTTGCCTAGAGAGTAACGGTAGTTAGAACTATGTCTTTTAAAAACGTATTTGACTACACTATCATTTATAAAGTAGGGTTTAGTTAAATCGGCCCAAAAGTTATTGGACTAGGTTATCAAAATATATTTTAGTCCGAAAGCTTGTATGAAAAGACGATGGCATTGTAACTACTACCGGTTTCGTATCACCAGTCTCGTCTAACACGCCTATTATTATTGTTTCATAGGTCAAGCTATACCAAACTGGCAAATTTTTTTACAGACATTCAGAACCCCAAAAATGAAACGTTAAATTTAAATTTCTAAACATCATCTGAATCTGATTCAAAGGTAAGCAGACACGAACTAGGTTCGGAGTACCTAGTTATGTTTGGAGTCAGACGACCTAAATGAAGGGTATAACTTTTTTATGGCTCACGGGTTGGGGCTAAAGTAGCGCGTGCGGTCTATTTCTCCTATCCATTGTAACTGGTAAAATTTATTATCCTATGGTTTGACTCTTTTTTTATATTGATTTCTGCAACTTGGCAATCTGTCTCAACCCAATAAGCCATTCAGATGGAGTGTCTTGTCAGCAGCAGAAGAAATTCCTTGTGAATCCCTTCCATGTGGTAGGTTTGTCTCTAGAAAAAATCTATTGGACATGCTTTCTAGTATATGGTAAGCAAAAAAATGATAGTCCTCATAGACCTTATGAATTTAGCTTCATATAGTACTAGCTTTTACCCGCGGCTTCGCTCGCGTCACAAAAGGATAAAAAGTAGCCTATGTGACATATACCAATACCTACATACAGCGCCATCTATACCAATACTTTTGTTTTTCCTCGGGAATATCAAATTTTTCCGGGATAAAAAGTACCCTATTATTTAATCCGGCCTTTTAACTTTACGTCTGCAAAAATTCAAAGCAATCGGTTTAGTAGTTACGGCGTTAAAGTGGAACAAACAAACAAACAAACAAACTCACTTTCCGATTTATAATATTATAGTAAGGATACTTACAAAATTCTGTGCCTTATGTGTGAGTGCTGCCAATTTGGTGGCTATCGATGACTTGGTCTGCGTCTCTGACACTGGAGACGACACCTCCTCGTAAGCTTTGCTTGCGCTGCGGAAAAATCAACGGATTAATTATTATGTTTTCGGCTTACTCACGTAACTGCTTGACGAGGAACTTGACTAGTATCAAGCCGTGCTAGAGGCTCCTATTCATGAGCAGCATTCTGTGACCCGCGCCAGTCGTAATTTAGTATGTCTGACGAAAGTTATAATATAAACCCTCTATCATGTATTGTTTAACAGCGTCAACTGAGAAGGTATTTTCAACGAGCTCTACCTTATTAGTTAGTTTTATGTTTATGAACAAGACTATGTTTATCTCTCGGAGTATTTTTAGTTCTGCTAATTTGCAGTTAATCTTTGTCGTGTATATTATGTTTTATCTTTTCAAGAAATCGTCATTAAAATCTGCATTTTGATTTTCTACTAATTGAACAAAAAATAATTTTCAATAATAATTCGGAATTTGGGTGTGAGTGGAGAATTAAGTATCATGAGTAAAGCCGTGGTGGAACACTAGTTTGATAAGTGAAACATTATAAATAGTTCTTACGTGTCAGTGCTATCTTTGGTGTTGTAGTCCACAACGAGCGCGGCGCTGCCAGGTCGACTGTGGCTGCCTGAGTCGCGAGAACTGCTCCTGTACGCAAATTATTAAAAAACTTGATAAAATAAAATACCTGTTCTAGAAGACCTTTTTTAAATATTGTGACCATCACAATAGGACATTATAATGTTCGTGAATGTGGGTAAATATTGAATACAAAAAATTGGCTACGTCTATCATTTGCGAATCCCTATCAGCGATGGTCACAATAATCGGAGTCAAATTGCTGTAGCCAAAATTAATCAGGATAATTGGCTGATATTAGCTTGTGTATTAAAGTTAAGGACAAGAAATGTGATGATTAGTTTAATACAAATTTTAAAGCTATCCAATACATTAATCTTCTTAAAGAATCCTCCTATGTCATGCTGGCCCGGAGGTTTAAGACGCCCACTTCTCATGCATGAGGGTGCGGGTTCGAAACCTACCAACGGCAAGTACCAATGTGACTTTTTCCGAGTTATATGTACTTTCTAAGATTATTTAGACACCACTGACAAACGGTGAAGGAAAAACATCGTGAGGAAACCTGGACTTATAATTTCTAATTATAAGTTTGAAATCGCCAACCCGCATTGAGCAAGCGTGGTGATTAATGCTCTAACCTTCTCCGTGTGAGAAGAGGCTTTGCTCAGCAGTGGCCATTTATAAGCTGTTGATGATGATGATGATGATGAAAGAATCCTCAAGCACATATCTGTCGGTAGTTTGAAGTAGTTTACAAAATATATCCAGATATTATCTCTAGGAACCAAATCCAAAAACAATGGAAAATAATAATGGTTCCGAAAAACAAATTAATCTCCAGCGATCTGTGGCCGACTATAAAAATGGATCTTCGAATAACAAAACTAAACTTCCGAATAGAATATTGAACCTCCGACAAAATTACTAAGTTACCGACAACAGACGTTTTAGGTTAGGTTAGGTTAGTATTGTAGCAATAAACAGTCATGTAAAGTAGTCGGGAAGTTAGTATTTTAGGCAGTAGATTTAATATTTTCAATAAGGACAATAGGGTAGACGACTAATTTGTATTTTAATGTCCGTCTGGTAGATTATTTAAAAACATTAGACACGTATTTTTTCTTTTCTCACAGAACCGAATAGTTTCGAAGATATATTGATTTGAAATGTCGCGTGACGTCACTTCTCAGTACATTTTATACTAAGAAATGACGTTTTAACCCCCACTCCTAAACTTTGATTCGTTTTATCTAAGTATTGTTTTATTATACGACAAAATAAAAAAATACGTGTCTAATATTTTTTCATTACCTAACTTACGGACTAATTATATTTTTAATTTTCATACCCTGTCATCATCCCCATTCTTCTTTTCTTGTCGGAGCTTTTATTACTACCAAAAAACAAAAAAAGTAATTCAAAGTGAAAAACTCTTCTTCGTCTATTTCTCCTCACCTCTTCTCGAGATACATACCTACCACTTTTTATTGTGTTTCATATAGCGGCTAACGGGAAGTTAAATAAACTGACCTTCGTCTCTGATGTTCCTCCCTGGGCATGTAGATATCCTCATAGTGATGGTCTCGCCTGGTGGTCTCAGCTCCGCTGTCACTGTCTGACTGCTCCTGAGCTGTCGTGGCCTCTGCAGACCCATGGATTTCTGCTTTCACTGTATAAGTATTATATACGTTAGAAATTGGGGCATATTGAAAAGAAACTGTACAATTTTGAACAAGTCGTATGATGGAAGCTTGCTTTTAGAGATTATGCTTTCGTTTCGCTTTTAGCTGATTATAAGGAGACAAATATTTTAAGAAATAGTAGCGTTTAAGATTCTGGAGTGACAAATTTACTAAGAATATTTTTGGTTCGGTAAAATAGTATAGCAGCCTTTTATTTTCATAGCCGTAGGTGTCGTGTAATTTTCAGCATTATAAAATAAAGCAAAGAGAGCATTGATAAGAACTTTAGTAGCAACATAAGTAAAACAGGATCCAGAACTATTTCATACGTATTTATAAGGCACGGATAATGTACATTTCATCAGAGGTAAGTTTTAAAGGGCCAAGCAGAAAAACAGCTGAGAAGTTCCGAAGAATCTAGAAGGTTCTAGATAGGCTTGCAGTGATTCTGACTCCTTACCAGTCATTATAGAATCATCCGGCTCCTCAGACTGCCTCGACCCTGGAGAATAACGACATTCTAACTATTGATGTTTTTGATAACTGTGGGTCGGGCAATATAGAACCTACTTACGAAGTTTTTTTGTACGTAGTTGTACAGTGCTTCCCCGGGTTTGAATAGCACTTGTGATTTGCTAAAAAATAACTTAACTGAATTTCATAAGCAGATCTTACAATTATCATATTAGAGTTTAAAAAGTTTCTCAGTTTCTCAGTCGTCCCTATAAGACTAGATAAATTCATCATTTAGCACTTAAATGATATTATGAAAGAAAATATCTTACCAGTCATAGCGGGTGCCTCCTGTCCCTCAGCAGGGACCCTAGGTCCCGGGGAGCGAGTATGGAACATGTCTCTGACGCGCTGGTAGAGAGCTGCCGGGGCCCCTGAGCTGCTGTTATTGTTGTGGAGGAACCAACCGCTCGCTGTGTTATCCGCGTCTGATGCGGAGCAGGCTGGGGAAGAAACAGAATGATGAAACACAAAGCCTGATTGATTAAATTGTAATAGACGAAAGTAGGTAAAATGTTGATAAGTCTGAAAATATAAAAGTCCAGAAATAGAACTTTATGAATTCACCGTGTAAATTAGATAATGAAGCTTATAAATCTGACGTGTGCTGTTAGTATTATTCGGATGTTGTCTTACGGTAGATTTGGCTAACTCAAAACTTAACAAATTTCAATCTGTGACGAGCGATATGTTATCAAAAATTCCCGTAATTCAATCGTATTGTAGTAATGATACTACTGCATTAGCTATGATATAATTGTTAGAACAACAGATAGATAGGTACTTATTATATAAACACAAATTCTTCAATAGTAATTAACTTCAAGTAATGATTAACACCTTCCCTTGTGTACCATTTCGGTACAAATTACAGTATTACTGGGTGTTATGTAGGCGTTATATACTTCTAATTGAATTGGAAAAACATAATGAAACTTCTTACTACCACTATTTACTGATTTTGATTGTGTTTACTTTGATTTCAAAGATCGGACTGACAGAATTTTTGAGTTGTTTACACATTATTTTGTATCTGCATTTTATAGCTTTACTAATGAATTGACTGACAGTTTTATTTTACCGTTTCAAATAGACCTGTATGTGGATTCATTGAAGTAAAATTTACTTCATATCCTCAAACTATTCTGTCTTCGTTTTCAATTCTTCTCTATCAGATCTCATCCTATCAAAATCTCCTTTTTACCATCTTTTTTCTTTACACTACTTGTAGCTACTATATTACTACGGCGCCGTCCGACCAGAACCATACCCGAGCGTACAGCACGTCGCATTCTGCGCGCACCTCAAGAAGTCATCAGACCACCACAGATGGGTCCCAGTAAGGCTGATGCCGATACGAAGCGGCGGAGCTGCGGAGGACTTGACGGGGTACTGGGGCTTCGGCTCGACAAGGAGGGAAGGTTTTTAGTAAGTAGGACAACTAACTAAGAACCACCCCTTTCTAACAACTTCCGCTAGCCTCACCCGGGCGGGAGAAGACATTGGTTGATTTTCCCCCGTCAAAACCCCTTTCAAGTTTATATTCAGCACTGGTTTTTATTAAACATGATATTCATCCACAAAGACTCAACTATAAGGAACGGTATTAATTAATAAATTTTCATTGGCAACCCGTTAATTACTAATGTAAACACTTGTAACGAGGTAGGATATAGTATGGTTTGCGTAACGTGTTTCCGATGCTTGGGTGCGGTTAATAGCCCTTCCTGCTTCCTATTTTTACATCCATAGACAATACTTTTGCACTTGTATACTGTTCTTTCTCCCAACCAGGTCTTTCCCTAAAAACTGCCAACAAATCAAACTCATTTAGTAGTTTATTTAACTTTCTACTTGTGTAACCTGAAAACACTTACATGAGTCAAACTGTGGTTGGAAAAATACTTCGTCTTTGCAAATTTCTGAAGCACTGCACAGAAGAACTTAAGATGTGAGCTAGACATCAAGCTTTCAAATAATGTGGACGTCCAAGTGGTTTTTATTCCGGGAACAGTTAAGAAATTGTAATTCTAATTAATAATTGATACAAAAATAATTATTTATACAATACCTAGTATAGCATTTTCATTTCCACAAAATTACTACAAAATAATAATGATTTTAAATAATTACTATTATTCACTGAACACACCGTATTCTGTATCAATATCATTCAGCCAATCTTGAATCACTGATCTTTTGGCTACATCCATCTTGACCAATTAGCACTAGTTAATAAAATATCCCCACAAGCATGACATAAAAGAGAGAATACAGGTGATGTGCAGAACACATTGCTAGTATTCCATTTTTAACGCGGATCGCGAGAGACACATCCGTTCACGACGGAGGCAGGAAAGCGACTGCTCAATCGGGTGCAACGGTTACCTAAAGCTGCGTGTGCGCTTCCTAGCGAGTCACTTCCGTCATATTACAATTAGATATGCTCAATTTTTCACGCATTTGACTGGATAACGCTATGGTTTATGGCTTTGTGATCACACATGACTGCCACACTGACTCATAATGATCAGAATATTCTAGGAATTGGTTAAATGACTATAGGTAAGTGACTAGTAATTTCTAATGATTTTATATTGATAAGTACCAAACGCTAATTTTATTACGTTTGGATACATGTCCTGAGAACTATTTAAAAGTATTGACTTTCACACTAGCTATTTTATTTAATTGTTCTTGCGAATCTACTTGGAATCAGAACATTATGTGTATATTAGTTTTTTATACTACTACAATTTGAACGAAACCGACCTTAGTTTATTGCTTGCTATAAACCTAACTATAATAGTTACTTCATACTTCGCTTCGGTAATTAGATTAGCTGATACACAGGCAGCCGGCTTTATTGCGTATAGACAGATATTTACGATTACAACCTATGAAGTAACGATTAGGAGAAATCTCAGAAATACAAGTTATACGTTTTTTCACTTTCTTGTACGAGTAAAAACATACGTGTCTAGTTTTCCGAAGGTATTATTTCGTTGTAAACTGATCACTCTGTTTGGAGAGTGGTCGCAAATGGACTATATATATGATGTGTGATAGTTACGATATATTTTTTTAAGGGATGAAAATCATCGAATGGTTTCTCCCGTCTGGGTGAGGCGGGAGGGAGTGTCAGACTCTTACTGACTAAAAACCACCCCGTTCCTTCTCCTGCACGTCAAGCCGGAGCCCCGGTAACCCGTTAGGTTCTCCGCGACGTGATAGTGACAATAGTGGTATCTCCTACCCCGTTATCGTCAGTTATAACACTGTTCTATTCAACTGTTTCAGAGAGCCAACTTATAACTGAGATCACCACTCTGGATTCTGGATGTCACTATAAATGCTTTGACTGACCTAGAGTCAGACCCAAAGACCTGTAATACACTAACGATCACTCGATCTAAGGCTATCGAAATACCATTCAAAATTACGAAATAACACCGGATTTACAGCTAATCGTATATTGCACTATGAATGAAATATTATTATCAATCATTCACAAACCGGTCAGATCAGACCACTGTGCATACACCTTATATCGATCACGACTATCATGACCATTACAACCTGTTCTTAATTTCATCTCGTCATAATAACACCATAAACCGGTTACATTTCCAATAACTGTACTATATGTTACGTTAGAATAAACCTGATTGTCAATTGCGGCGGTTTAAGCGGAGAGAAAATAACCGCGCGTGTTGATGGAGTCGCGCGGTTCCATGTCGCGTGTTTTAGCGTGATGGAAAGTTTTATATTTCGAAATGAATTAATGTCATAAAATAAAAAAAAATCAAATGTCATAAAATAAAAAAAAATCAATTAACTCTAAGCTTATCTCTTTGTATGTGGCTTTCAGGAATCTGACAAATAGCAAGTCGGTCAATATTTAAAAAGATTAAAAAAAAATGTATTAATGTATTAGCAGTAACTACTACATGAGTACTTTGGTCAGCAGCGACCACATATAGGCTGTTGATGATAATAATGATAATAATAAGGTACTTAAATTCCTACCAAACACATTTTGTGTATAATTGTTTTTAATGTGATCAATCTGCCACACATATTTTATTTATCAAAACAACCTATTCTCAACTGTAACACTGACCTTTCATAACTAATCCTCATAAGATATAAAATAATTGTATAACAGTTCTCAAGTATCAGAGAGCCGCGTGCCGTAATGGAGTACCGGCTTAACCTAACGGTCTGCTGTCGACCTTGCTACTACGTAATAAGACCTCCGGGCCGCACTCTTACTTTCATCTCGATGTTAATCTCTTAGGATCCGCTCACACTCACATCAAGACACTACGTGCAGCTGTGCGCGTTTTAGTTCGTAAAGACTCAAAAAAGTATATTTTAGAACTAAGGTTTATACCTATTATTAGATTTGGATGATATCCGATTTAAATATTTTCTATTTTTTGACACTAATAACGAAAGACATCTAATCGTAAGGTTATTATATGTTTTAAGAGTAACAGAAGCATTAAGCCGTAACGCTTGAGCAAACCAATTTCAGTGTGTTAGGTACCATCTAAAACTCTATTTTTTAATCTACTAAATTGAACATCGATTTTCGATAAGTTAATTTATATTTTGTTCTAGTGAATGTGCCCAAGCCAACAACATAACGTCTAACGTCTACAAAAAACCGCGCGTCATATCGGGCCCCAGTGTGAACTAACCCTAACTGCATTGGAAAGCAAAAGTGGTCTAATACACCGACTTTATGAGAAATTCGTAATTTATAGCCGATTTCTTATACTCTGTGGTCGATAACTCAATATAGAGGTTGACTATATGGATTTCTTTTTGCTGGATTTTTACTTTTTTACAGAACTGGTTTCAACAAGGTTACGCTAGTTTACGATCTGAGTATGTAAATTAGGAAGATATTGATTGGTATTTTTGTTGTTTTTGGTGATATTTTGTTTGATGTTATTAGTCGATTAATAAAATAAACTACAACATGGAAAGTGATAGCGATCGAGTAACCGCTATCTCTATCATTTGTCGCTGGTAACTTCAAAGTTCCTTAACCGAAAATTGCGGTTTATACTTTATACAAATACTGTCTATGAACTACCCACCGCAACTGTCAGTAAAATAGCTTTAATTAAACTTCAATTTCATTCCAAAAAAACCATTAAGAAGTACCAGTAAATTCTTAGTCCTTTTTGTTACTACATTCTTCTTAATAAGTTTCAAAGTTGGTCGAGTTCCGAGTGGTCGCAAGTGTGACTGCCGGGCAATGGGTCTTGGGTTCGATTCTCGGGTCGGGCAAAGTATTACTGGTTTTTTTTTATAATTCTCAATTGTAGCACGGAGTCTGGAATTGTGCCCGGTATATGGCAATAGACTCACCCCCTATTACATGGGACTCATAACATAAATAGCGAAAATTAGGATTTACATTGTACAGTGGCATAATGTACACCTCTGCCTCACCCTTCGGGGATAAAAGGCGTGATATTATGTTAAGTTTCAAAGTTTACTTGTCACATATTTACCTGAACTCTCCTCCCCCGAAGAGCTGTGATGCGTGACACTGGTAGACGTGGCTCTCTGCATCGGATTGACATACAGTCCATCAGCAGGTCCGGAGCGAGCTGAACTGACGGAGCCGACAGTGGAAGGTAAGGAACCACGTCGCTCCTGCACAGAGTTACGTCGCTCCCGCTCTGGGGCGTGCAGGTAGAAGGGGGAGCGAGTACCATTCATGTTTATGCAGTTCGGTAGGGCGCACTGGAATTTGAGAAGTTAATTGTTAATTAGGATTTAGGTGAATTGGAGTTGGATTTGTGTTTATATGTACAGTTTTATCTCCCACGTGTTCAGTATTTCCCTATTAACTATTATTACCAAAGTATATTTTTTAAGTGTGGGAGAGCCATGCTTCGGCACGAATGGTCCGCCTCGACCGGAGTGATACCACGGCCTCACAGAAAACCGACGTGAAGCAACGCTTGCGTTGTGTTTCGTCGTGTGAGTGAGGTTATCGGAGGCCCAATTACCCTACCCTTCCCCAATCTCCCCAATCCCTGAATTCCTAATGATTTTCAAACTCCTAATCCTCAAAAAGCCGGTAATGCACTTGGAACGCCTCTGGTGTTCCAGGTGATTTGGCATTGGCAGGTTGAGGTAAATTTTCATGGACTAACTACCTACATACTTTTGAAATCGCCATAATATACAAGTATCAAATATCATGTTTTTGTTCTACGTTTCAATTCCAAATTGAAGACGAACGTCATGTGTTTGTTAGTATTTCCTAAAGTTACAAAATAATTATCGACCTCTATACAAAACTATTCTTGTTTTATATTAGTAATAGCGTCTAACATTTAGAATTTTAGATAATTGCAACATAATAGAGAAGTTAGACAAAGCAAAATATCGATCGTTCGTTTTATTGATTACGAAAATCATTAACATCATTGAGAATGTACAATATTGTATAATGTAATAATATTATAAAGTCGTAATAGTTTAGTAAAGAAATCTAATGCTCAGCAATCATTTGTAATCTTCGTGGATTATGTAATTGAAAAACTTCACCCGTTCAGAGAAATATAAGAGTGTTGGATAAGCACTTAAAGAATTTCGTAAAATTACATTTCGCTAGTATACCTAAGTGTTAATGCAATATCAACTGGTGGACTATAGGGTTTGTACACTAAACTTAGATGCAATGCGAATTCGCAACGCAAAAAATCACGATGCGAATTGCTGCGATGCGATTTCGTGCGACAAGGCGTCTCCCAGGGTGACCATTCCTACGACGACCGTCAACCGTACTGAAGGTATTTTAAATTGAAAACTAGGTCGTGACATGGATCGTAAAAGAAGTGTGCACATCTATTATTGCGTAGGAGATGCAGGACAAAGAAACAAAGAAGATTTTGGGAAGATAAGATTTTGATGTGCGATACGAATCAATTCGCAAGTTTTCGCGATGCGTAAGTAGAGGGAGCTCGCACAAGTTTTGTGTACGAGCCATACGAGATAGGGTTTGCCTTAATCCCTAAACTTGACAGACGGCTTAAAGAACTCAGTTTAAACAAATAGGTTGAAAAAACCTAGTCGCAGTGAAATTTTGTATCAAATGCATTCAAAAATCTGTCCTTCTTACTGGAAAGACAAATAACGACACGGTCACGTTGCCAAAGTAAATCGAAAAACAAACGAGATCAAACGAGCATCAAACGGTTAGTTTTATTTACCTCTATTACATAAAATACTGTTCACTCTGGTACATAGATATTTTATTCCTTTTTATGGAATGAGCTTGGATAAAGGCTAACTAGATAATTGATCGAATGATAATGATATGGGACGTAAACTCTTCCATCAACTATCACTATTATGTATACCTACATATACTTTTTTTTTAATGGGTGAAAATCATCGAATGACTGTGGAGGGAGTGTCAGACTCTGACTGACTAAAAACCACCCCGTTCCTTCTCCTGCACGTCGAGCCGGAGCCCCGGTAACCCGTTAGGTTCTCCGCGACACCTACATATACTAGTGGTTCCCAAGTTGTGTATAGTTTGGTCCTTAAATTAAACGAGCAGATAGATTACTTGATGACAAGTAATCAGTGACGTCCACAGACTAAGCATAATTTGAAACTGTGTAAATCTTGTTCAAAATAAATGTCTCTTCGTTTTTACAAAATGGTTTACTTACTCTCGCCTCTCCAGGAGCACATGCGCAGGAGTGTATCGCCTTGTAGGAGGAGAGTTGCTTATTGTCCGCCCCTGCCGCACCCGCAGCCACCAACACGTTCAGGCACTGGGGAAAGGCACATTTATTTTTTAAGAATAACCTTCTTGGGATTGTTTTGCAAAGCATGGAAATATTATAGATTTAAAAAATGACGTAAATGTTGCTCCTTGTTTATTCTTGAGCCGCTGAATATCATGACCTGCCTTTATATCACCCAAAGGTCTACTGACAGGTAATATCATAATACCATAGTAATATGTGCCTTAAGGAAATAAATTCATTGTCCAGCATGTTCCAATAACAATAGCCTCGATTTTTATTTCATAGGGTAATGCGATAATATATTTCTATTCCTATTCATAAGACGGTTTATAGCCATATATAACTATTCCATATACAGTTCTATATTACCTAATAATTCGTGTAAATTAAGGTGTCACCATTACATAACTAAAAAGTTTAAAGTTTATAAATAGGCTCGGCATGTGTTAAATATGTAAATAAAGTTATTTTTATTATTGGTTATAAGGTTTCAAATTTTGGGTGAAAATATAATTTAATATTATGCATAATTTATTAGAAAACATATCAAAACATTGTGGTCTGAATTTCAAATTAATGGAAAGGTAGGTGTAATCTACCATAATTTTTTTCTACATTACCCAAAGGTTTGGCTGGAAGCGAGTGTTCATGGCATTATGTACCCACGTTTGTACATATTATTTCCATGAAGCCTTAAATATATAAACATAGTTTTCAATCGTCCTCTCATTAATACAGCCGACCTACAGAAATTAATAAGTAACCATTTAATATAATATGATCTCAGATCTTTTTTTTTATTAAGGGAGCCCACCACAACCTCCCAAAGATGATCTCAGATCTGTAAAAACTAAACAAATCAATCGAGTTTCAATTGTGTCCAACTCATTAATAATCTCACACACTTTGACTAAACAAAGAACCTTACCCTAATTTTATTCCTACTTAATTATGTATACCTTAAAACTTTCATAAATAACCCTGATCTGAAAATTTCAGCTGATACCTAATACAAATTCGCACAATATTTTCCTTGTTTAACAATATGGCACTGACCTCAGTGTGATTGGCAAAACGTAACAGGAAGTAACATGTACCATTGTTTCACATATCTGCCGTCAGAGGTCGCTTAAGGTTAAAAGCAGTGACCCTTGAAATGACAATTTTATTTGTCAAAACGTTATTAGTTGGTAATTAATAACCTGCAGCTGTAGCCAAATGCCATTTTTAGCACTTGTCTACTTGTAGAGTAGAAAACCAAATTATATGTTTTCTAATCTAACCATTTTGTTTTCTAATCTCTCTGTAGACAAGCGCTAAGGTGGCGTTTGGCTAAAGGCTCTGATTCGCATTCGCATAACTTTACTGCCTAGAATACCTATTTCTGTTTTTTAATAAACAATATTGTGTTTTATTTTACATGCCTTTAAGCCGAAATTAATTAACTATCTCATTCCTGAATCTGTTTACTGAGGTCGATTTGTATTGAGATTGGATGGATGGAGTTTCTATCAATAGCTTTGACTGATCAATAGATTATTATTTAATTTCGGTATATCTTCAAAGTTACTCTGCCCCTAGCTACAACAGCAAATGGGCTTAACTAGCCACAATATGTGATAGCATTCCCGAGACTCTTGTCTAGCATAGTATCTTACTCATGAAACTGTAAACTTTATTATTATATTAAACTAATGATAACCACAAAATAGCTCTGTATTTGCGGTTGTTTAAGGCTTAGATGTAACTGTTTCTGGTCAACATACTGACATTCCTTCATCGTAGCAACAGTTACGATTTGTATTGTAACTTTCATGAGACATACTAAATAAATTATTATGTTTTCGGCTTACGCGCATAAGAATTTGACAAGGAACTCGACTAGTGACGGCGACTGTCGCCGCATCGCGGGTCGGAAAATGCTGCTCATAAATATGAGCCTCTAGCATGGCTTGAAACTAGTCGAGTTCCTCGTCAAATTATTACGTGAGTAAGCCGAAAACATAATAATTTAAACAGTTACGATATTTTTTTTTTCATTCACTTTATAGTCGGAACTACGTAAGTATTAGGACATTATTTACATATTATGTTTACATAAATCACAATTCACATAAACATGACCTAAGAATTTATTCATAGAGAATTATGAATATATAATTGTATAGTATATTCATAATGATCATTGTATAAGGCCTATTACGGCATTAGGCACAGAATTTTTGTATTTATATTATTCTGTCTATATTAATTTAAATGTAAATTGCATGTTCAAGAAAGTGAGAGCATATCCGACAATCGATTTAGCATAAATAATCGATTTCCTAGTTCTTATCTTAAGACACAGACGAATGTATGAAGCTGTTGCTCGGAGACTGGAAATTTATAATCAAAATCGATTTTTCGTAAAGTAATTGAATAGATAATATGCATTAAATTGTTTAATATTAATGTTATGTAAATTGCGTATATAAGTTTTGCGGTTGGCGTTGTATTTTTTAATATTTTGCTGCAACTTAATTGACCGTAATTTCCAAGATTGAACATTCATCTATTGCCAGATCATGTCTCTCATTTTAATAGGATCAAATAATAATAATAAGTTGATACAAACTGTATTGTTTTTTTATTTTCATCATTAACTATTTTATTAGTAAATTCGTTAAACGCAAGAATATAAAGTTCAATGTATCTAGTCACTGTTTAAAAGACATATAAACTAATTAAATTCCATTTCATTAAAAGTCAAATCTACTGATTGCAAAACACGCACAAAATAGACAATACAAAAACTAAAAACTGACACAGATTAAAATCAAAGCACTCAGTTTTACTTTCATCGGCTTGACCAGTGTTAAGAACGAACGATTAATTGCGCACACGCCGAAAACTGCGCAACGACGTGTGACCAGTAAAGAATGATACTTTCAAAACGTGAGCTTTACTTGTTACACTGTCGACATGTAGAAAGTGGACAATGGGTATGTGGTACTACATGGCTACTAGAAATTCATGCTTAAACGAGCATGAGTGAGACTTACTAAGTAACTGACTAAGTGTTCGTTTAAATATTTTGTTGATAACCTACCAGTCTATATAAGGCTGTCAGTTATAAAGCTGGTATTATAAAACGATACTTAATCGGGAGCCTCGGATGTACCTATTCTGTGTTCAATATTTGCACCCTTTTTAAATGGACCTACTTGAGAAGCCATCTCTACTTGAGTAGGTATTGTTTTATAACTAATACCGGTCTCAGTCTAGGCTGAGTGTGAATTGTGATTCAAAGCAAATAATGGTCTATGTAGTAGGTACATACATTGTGTATGTACCATAGACATATAACATGTTTCTTTCGTCTTTAGAGACTTGTATTGTGAGCCTGATTCAAAAAAGAGTAACCTATGGAGTTTCTTGCGCGTTCTTCTCCATAAGAATCTACACCTTGGAATGAGCAAATGATTTTGTTTTTGTTGACTTTCAAAAGTGTCTTTCTGGTCTAATTGAAATAAATGATTCTGACTTTGACTTTTCTTTTTCTTACGTAGACAAATACCTATGTAAGAAAAATAAATTACACAATAATTGTTTATAAGTAAATTATCTCTAAACATATTATTATACTCATAAGAAATTAACGTATTACAAATTATTACAACAGTAATTTAATAATCAAAAAAGAAGACTTGGTAATTGAAATCAGGATCTCAAATGCTAAAGAACTATAGTCCATCCAACGATTCCCTCTACCTCTACATCATTGAATAGATGGAAACTCGGAAAAACGATGGAAAACTCAAACAAAGAGGTAATTAATGCGACGCTGTTGTTGTTCAGTTAATTGTATCTGTAATGACTTGATGCACATACAACTTTCTATACCATACATAAATAGAAGCTACTACTATAGTGTATGGTGTACCTACAAAGAAGACTTAGTTTATTAGCTTTGAACATGTTTCATTTTATATACTTCAATACCTATAAACGGTTGTAAAATTTGGTCCTGTTTTTTAAGTGGGGAAAATCATCGAATGACTGCTCCCTCCTGGGTGAGGCGGGAAGGAGTGTCAGACTCTTACTGACTAAAAACCATCCCGTTCCCGCCCCGGTTACCCGTTAGGTTCTCCGCGACAAACCTGTTACTTGCATTGGAACTACCATTTAATTTGCGTCGCAGTGAAATGACTTACAGAATGGAGTCAGTAATTATATTTATGGCGTACAATAAGTAGGTATACCTATGTGTAAATAAATATTTTTGATAGATTATTAACAACATAAAATGTAGTAATTTTCATTAGAAGTCATTTAGCAGCTATTTTAACATAACATCACGCATTTTATTCCCGTAGAAGTAGGGAGAGGTGTAATGCCACTGTACAATGTAACACCCACTTTTCATTATATACCTATGTTATGAGTCTCATGTAATTGGGGGTGAGCCTATTGCCATATACCTACCGGGCACAATTCCAGACTCTGAGATTTTTTTTTCAGACAACTGAGATTTTTTTTTCAAAACCCAGCTTTTTACTTTCTCATAAAAAAAAATTGATCCCCAAATATCAAAATTAGTTTTGAGCTAAGTACCTACGTAGGTAAGTGAAGATATAGATCTTACAATACACCTACTATAATAAAATAATTTACTTAAAAACTTGCTGTCCCCCAAAATTCTCATTCATTATGTGAATAATATTTTAAAACGGAAAATAATAATGGTTCCGAAAAACAAATTAATCTCCAGCGATCTGTGGCCGACTATAAAAATGGATCTTCGAATAACAAAACTAAACTTCCGAATAGAATATTGAACCTCCGACAAAATTACTAAGTTACCGACAACAGACGTTTTAGGTTAGGTTAGGTTAGTATTGTAGCAATACACAGTCATGTAAAGTAGTCGGAAAGTTAGTATTTTAGGCAGTAGATTTAATATTTTCACTAAGGACAATTCTTCTTTTCTTGTCGGAGCTTTTATTGCTACCCTTTTAAAACCACCACTCAAAAATGCTTACCTCCAAATGATGATTTTCAGCAGCATCATTAATGGGACTCTTGCCATGTCTGTCCAGGTGCAACCTAGCACCATGTCTGAGCAACCAGCGTACTGTGCTGAGATGACCCCTGGAGGCTGCGAAATGTAGAGGAGTGGCCCCGTCTCCGTCTCTCGCATTGGGGTCTACGCCACGCTCCACAATCTGAGAAAGAAGAATATTTTTATGATCATCATTATCTTACTAGGTTTTATGGTGAGACGGTGAGTCGGTGACCAATTGACATAAAACCCGTCTTTCATCAGTTATTTTGTTAGTCTCATACAATACAATAGAAGAAGGATCTATGGATTTGGGTCAATAATTTGTAGGCAACACAATAAAGACTTTTTCCGAGAATCTAAATCGAGACAATATGCGAAGCAGGTGTAGTAGGTCTCCCAGCGCAACCAAATAAATATATTATAATTCTTTTATAAACTTCGTTTAAAAAAACCGACTTCAACCCCCTATTTTATTGAAATCGGTTAATTAATACACTAAAACCTCCTCCAAACAAGTTTTTGAAAACCGCAATACAATCGGTTCAACCAATCGTGATAAATAAAGACCTACAGGTCAAACTTTTCATTTGGACCTTCTTTTATTAGAAGTTTCTTAATTATTCGTATAATAAACTTGAATTTCACTCCATATCATTTCATTACTTAAGAACTAATATTAATTTCAATAAAAACTCTATTCTACACATGATCAACGTTTCTAAACACTTAATATTTTTCACTTAAAAGCCGCGATATTTCATTGGATGGAGCTATCATGCGCAGGCGCATTAAAATCGAATGATATGACATTAGATTTCACCGCAACACAGTAACTGCGATACTTAAGCTGTAAATACAGATAAGACTTTGTTAGATTAGTGTTCCGTAAGTAAAGCAAGTGAACGGTTAGTTTTTATAACACTACAAAGTAAGAATAATGACATAAGTGCAATTTGTAATTTAAAAAAAAATCGTTGCCCTACACTAGGAATTTGTCCTGTGTCGTGGGTGCGTTTACAAACATACAAGTTCACAAACAAATAATGACACCCAGACCCGGAACAACAATTTGTGGATCACACAAAGAGTTAGCGGCAATAAAACCCGCGACGTGTTGCACGGCTGCCAGTTGCCCACTGCGATAACCGTGCAGTCACATAGTCCAGTTTTCTATATTACGTTGCAAAAAGGAGCACAATATCCAGTTTCGGTTTTATGACCCTCTTTTTTCTACGTATGTACGCAACAGTATGTACTCATTGCCCCCATTAAAATGTTTTATCTAACTATTCTAACTGAACGTCCGTGGCCAGTTATCCAGCGTTTTATGGTTATATCAACCAAACAAAACGTAGTTTTCTAGCGGCGTAGTGTAGTGACCTCTTACGGGTATTTCTAAATGAAAGTCCGTTTTCAACAAAACAAAACTGGCTACCATGATGCAATGTTAACAAAAGTCTAATTCTTAAATAATAGTGTGTTTTGTTTAGATCGAAGATGCCAATTTCATATATTATATTATTGTTGTATTGTTATTTCATACATTTAGTTCATCATTAAAACTACACAAGAAATCATCTTCTTTTATCATTATAATCTTCATTTATCATCGTCTCAAATGAAGCTTTTTAATAAGGTAGCTCAAAAATACTGGAAAAAAACTTCTGCTAGCATATTAAATACAAATTATCCTGTTTTAGACCAAAACGAACTTTAAATAAACAGCACAGAATTACAACACAGTACAGTTCTTTTCATCTTCCTATAATCTAGATGAGTGAGCCTTCTGCAAATATACCTACTTGTTTATTGCAAAAATAACTAGCACTATAAACTGTTTTTAAGCTAGCAAACCGACCTTGTGCTAGCTTGCAAAATGTAATATGCATCTATAAAAAAGTTTCGCTCTCATCATGATTACAATTTTAGAACTTAACGATCAACTTAGTCAACAAACGCAATACTGAATCTAGAATGTTCTTTATCTAGAATGTTCTTTGAAAAATATGGTAATGATAGTGTTAAAATATGCGTCAGCTAATTAATTAGAGTGTAAATGTGTAAAAGAAGTCGCAAATAAATGTAATATTATACCTGTTTTTGTAGAAAATGTAGACAGAAGTATCCTTAAGTATTTTACACACATTTCTTGCCTTTAAATTATTAATAGTTCAATGTATTTTTTTGGATTTGTGTTCAAAATAAACGCAAATCTTAAGACCAAATCCTCTTGCTCTTAATTCAGTAGTCGTGCGTTGGATATGATCAAACGAGACGTGTTACTAATAAAAGTAATAAAACTCAAACCAAATTCACTCTACTTGATAAACTGATAAAAACTAAATCAATTTCACATCACATACATTTCACCGGATGATTTAATTAAAATTCCACATTACAACATAAAACATGGCTGCTAGCTACCATAATACGGGAAAAACGTTGATCTCCGCAGTCAATAAATCCGTCAGCAAAGTCTCACGCTACTTGCATAGATGGCGTTGACAGCGGATAAAAACTAACGACTATAAGAGAAATCATGAAGTAAGCACATGGTCCAGTATAAAATAAATAAGTAAAGAGATTACATTTCCGATACATTTGTCACTGTTAATCAGGAAGAAGGAATTCCTAAGATAAATCGTCGGATGCAGGCGTAATGTACTGCGTGACTACCGGCTGGCTGTTTATGTGTTTACACAATATAATGTATAGACAATTGGCTATATTATATAATAAAATTGTAAACCATTAAACGATGTAACACAACACATATGTGATTTTTTGTTGACATAGAATGGTCGTATCTGATTAAAAATGATTGCAGTGTTTGTGCAGTGCCTGCATAATCAGGTGCAATGTCGTGAGTCTGATCACACACACACACACACACACATATATTATCATCGCCTAACACAAACGGACGACACTGCCAAAAAGGTTTATTTATCAAAAAATGCAAGCCTCAAGAGCAGAGGTGAATTAAACTTAGAATGTACTAGCCAAATAAACACCTTATAGGCGCTCCTCTTCAACCGGACGCCCTAAGCGATTCCCTAGTTTGCCTTAGAGATAATACGGCTCTGCTGAAGAGACAATTATTTAGTTATGCTATATCCAAATTATATCAGTGTACTCACCATCCATTTAACGCAATCCAAGCAACCGGTCTGGGCAGCTGCATGGATGGGCAGCATACCATCTCTGGCCCTCGCATCCAGACGCCCTCCAGCCTCCAGCACCAGATATTTGAGAACTGCCAGATGCCCTTCCTGTGCCGCCAGATACACCGGCGTCACGTCATTGTCCATCGCCGTGTTGGCACTGCGGAAGATAATTTTAAATTAGTTAAACAAAACACATACGACATTTTTCTATGGTATCAAAATGTGAAAGAATTAAATTATATAACTAGCTATTGCCCGCGACTTCGTCCGCGTATAGAGTATGAATTTTAGAACATAACTTCTTTTGTTACAATTTTCCAAAATAAAAGTAGCGTATGTTACTCTGAGTACCTACATCAGCTACCTGCCAATAAAAGACTTGCAAAATCGGTCCAGCCATTCCAGAGATTATCTAGTCAACCAGACAGACAGACAGACAAACCAAAATGTGTATCGTACGTATATTCATATCGTAAAAAGCGATAATTTTAATATTACAAACATACACTCAACTTTTTATCTGTTTATATTGTAGCTTTCCTGAGATAATTATACTAAATTCATTATTCATTATGTTTTCGGCTTACTCACGTAACTATCTATCTATATGTATTAGAAACATAGGTAGATACTTGAAATAAGTAGCAATAGCAAATATTTCTAACTCTTTTTTCTTTTAAATGGCAACCGAATATATTTTTTTTACTTATTTAGGAGTGATACAGTAAGATTTGATATACCTACTAACAGTCATTTTGTATTCAGAATTTACACGCACCCAACAACTGGGGGATAAAAATAAAACGATCATATTGGGTAGGTAATTACCTATCATGTCATGTCATAATTATATTTAATTAGAACAAAAAACGATTGTTAATTTTATGATTAACTAGCGACCCGCCCCGACTTTGCACGGGTGCAATATGCATGGATTATACATATAAACCTTCCTTAAGAATCACTCTATTAAAAAAACAGCATCAAAATCCGTTGCGTGCGTAGTTTTAAAGATCTAAGCATACATAGGGACAGACAGACGGCGGATAGCGACTTCGTTTTATACTATGTAGTCATGATACTGAATAGAATTTACGTTTCTATTATATCAAACATAAAATATACTTCTAAATAACTGCATTCGATTCGTTTTCAACCTGCGTAAATACGATCATGTTTCTGCACATCGGCTGCAACTAAAGTGGCTGCCCATACGCCAGCGCAGGGAGCAAAGGGCGCTTACCACTCTATTCTCCTTTCTTTGTTCACCTTCTTTACCCAGTTATCTATCCCCTTACTTTCAATACTTGTGCGCAAACCACAGTAAAAACCTTCGTTCTTCCCATAACCGTCTTCTCCAATGTCCCACTCATCACACTGACTTCTTTCATTCTTCCTTTTTCGTGCAGGCAATTTTGCTGTGGAATGCGCTCCCCCTGGATGTCAGGATGGTGTCGACACGTTTAACATTTAAGCAGAAAGTACGTGAGCTTCTCTTGAAGAGGTTGGCTGAATCATCACAATAATTATTTACAGAGTATTAGTAATTATGTTCATATTTATATTATATGCTATGAGTCTATGTATGTATGTATGTATGTATGTCTATTGCAGTGTACTCGTGTGTAGGTATATATATTATTATTATATTTATTTATGTTCATATTTGATATATGTTAGTATAATCTTCTATTTTCTCAATTAAATCGTTGCTTGCTTCTTGCTCCTACCATTCACTCTTCTCTGCATCACCCAAAGGTCAGACTGGGAGAAAATGCCTGCGGCATTAAGTCCACCTTGTGTACACTTTGTGCATGAAGCGTTAATAAATAATAAATAAAATAAATAAAATATAGTAATATAATAATAAATTTGCAACAACTCTACTTTTCACATCGACCAAGGGTTTAGGTACACATTTGACAAAGTTCATATAACAGTAAGGCTTTTTGATAAAGCTAAATGATTTTTTTAATCCACAATCTCTAAATCGTCGGCCAAGCGTTACGATCATAGATATATAACATAGATGTGTGACTATTGTCTACGGGTAGAATTTAAGATCCATCTCGACGGTAAATTCATAAACATACTGTTGTTTCTTTTTTACTTATGTTTCTTTGCTTATGCAGAAAGAGACAACACATTATTGTCATTCTGGCAATAATTTTTTGACGTCATCAAAAATACCTAGTTGTGCCGAATTCGCCATCTTGGTCTCTGTTATCAGTGCATGTCAGTGGTACATCTGCTGTCAAAGCATTGGTCAATAATATTTTGTTACGAAAATTTTTAGAATTCCTGTTATTTTTGTGCGTGGTAAGCAAAGAAGTTATTGGTTAGTGAGAAGAACTATGCCCGGGTGTAATGTTATTGGATGTAGCACTAAAAATATCACTAAATCGACAGGTGTAACATTACATCGGTAAGTACTGTTATTTTTCATTAAAATATCTCTGTTTTTTAAACTATTCAAGTGAGCTTGCTGTAAGTTGACTAAATACAATACTTTTCTAACTAATGCAGTGCTTATTTTCATTGATTTTAGTTGAAATACGTCTAAAAAATTTTTCATTGAAAAATAGTGATGTACATGTTTGTTCCTGTATCGATAATTTTATCGTTCATATTAATAAATGGTTCAAAAGTAGAACAAAAACTATACTAAATTCTGAATGATAAAGTGCATTAATTTGACATAATGACAAAATGCAAAAAACATTAAATATGTACTCGTCAAAAATTTCATTTTATCGACAATATTCCACCATAATCAATACCTACGTAATGTTATAAATAATACAAAACATGAATAATTTTTGTACAATATAAGAAAATACGGAAAAATACTTGTGGGAAAAGCATTTATTTCTAAATTGTATTTTTATCAAATACCGCTCGAGAGACTCCAATGAAGCAAACAAATGAAATATAACTCCTCCGCTATCTATCACTATCATTGCAATGTACAAACATTTTCATTCAGACCTTAGTACAGTACGTATAGAATCTATAGAGATAATCTATATTCGATTGAATCAAGTAAGTTAAATTATACTATTTATGTTGCAGCCTCTAGCCAGATCTGTGCATGAAAATGAACTTGGAACCAGTTCTGGAGTCGTCTCGAAAGATAGTTTCGCAGATTACATTACTGGGAAACAGTACGAAAAATACAAAGAGTTTGTAACTATATTATAAATCTTGATTTTATGAATACTTTGAAACAGTCTTATTTTTCAACCCTCAAAAATTACTTAACCTTAAGTATGTAAATGTTAACCAGTTGATGGTAAATCCTTTTCATAAATTACGATACATATGTATCGTGAAAGGTATGATGTGAATGTATGGACACGATCGACCGGAGTAATAGTGCACGCAGTAACTACTAAATATATTTCGCTAATATTTTTAGTAATGTTTAGTAGCTAGATAAAAATCAAATCTAGACGAATCATAAAATAATGATATTTTATCGATAAATCAACTAAAACCAATACCAAAATATCGATACTTCTACAGTTTCAATAGTCACATCCCTAGTTCTATCCGCCATTGCGAATGACCAAGTGAAGTTTAGGTAGGCACGTTTTTTTCGTAGTTGCTTCACATCCATAGTCTTATCATATCAGTGGTTACGATTATGGCGATGATGCCAATAGTCTATTAATCATTAATTTTGTAATTTGTATTTTTTATTTTTTCTTACATTCCTAATCTTACCTTTTTTCCTCGCCATCGATTGTGACAGTCATGATAATGTCTTATAATCACAGACACTAATAAATCATAATATTATACAACTTAGTTAAAAAATTAACAATATCACATCACATTCTAATTAATTGTCATGCACGCACTAAAATCTAGCAAAAACACACACTCATTGTAAAAAAAATGTCAAAAAAAACAAATCACATTCGAAAAAAAATATCGCTTGTCAAATTTAAAAAAAGAATCACACTTCTCGCGCATCTAACCGGCCAGCATCACTAGATGCAGAATGCTTTAATAAAAACTAAAAAGTTTTCGACCCAGTCTGACCTCCATAGTGAAACTTTCGAAATCGACTAAGTATCTAGGTTCGGAACGCAATCAACACTCATATTAGCACTAATTTAAAATACATGAATTTTATAAACATTCCTCTTTGCATTTTATTAAAGAATTAAATTAAAATATTATTAAATGTTTTCTAAAATTTGAGATGTTTTGGTTTATTTTTTTAAAGTTGCAACTCGTTGTCATTTTTAATATTTTATTTGTTTTTGTGTTTTAATGTGGTTTTGTATCAAATAAGTACATTTATGTAACGAAAATAAATGTGTAGATACCAGTAAATTTCGAGATTAATTAAAATTTTAGTGAGGCAACTAAATAAGTTTAAGTATTACCAAACAAGCATAAAAATAAGAATGAAATCCTAACTTTGGACCTAGATCTAGACAATCTGGAAAATAAATATTGATTGTACTATACTTAGATTTGACCTTCTAATACCTTAAAAGTTACAAACAACAAATCTTTCATACTATTCACAAGAATATTGCATAAAACAAGGCCCCGGGCGATTCCAAACACATAATTTGATTTATCAAATACCTATCTAGTGACCTCTTGCATTGCACCTGTGGGTCATAATGATCAATATCTGATCAAGATAGAGAATTGATTGTCTAATGTAGGATGATATAATATTATTATTATTTTTTAAACCTTGCCCCACACTAGGTTTTTCTCCTGTGTCGTGGGTGCGTTTACAAACATACAAGTTCACATACACAATGACACCCAGACCCGAAACTGTGAACTTGTATGTTTGTAAACGCACCCACGACACAGGAGAAAATCTTAGTGTGGGGCAACGTTTAAAAAAAACCTTGATAACAAAGGACAAACTGCTTGCGCAGTACTTCCATTTTTGATACAAAGTCTTAATTTAAGATTGACCCTAATTCGACTTTTAAAAGCACATCAGCAATACCATTGTTCATATCAATCCCATACTCCGATCTTAATAAATAAGATAAGTGTTACAAAATAATTTAATTATCACTTTGTGATCATTACATATACATAGTACATATGTAATATGGGAGTTATTGTGTGTTATTATGTAATTCTAGCAAATTAAATTAATATTGTGTTCCTGTT